CACTAGCTTGAGCTTCCAGCATTATGTCAATGAGAAGTCTATCCTGCCTTGTCACACCTGTAGCTGGAGAGTTTGTTAAAGCTTTTATAATTGTTTTTTTCCTTTTGTGTGTAAGTGTTGTAGCTGCATGCATGAATATGCACCATGTGTATGCAGTGCTCACAGAGACCAGAAGGGGGCATCAGATCTCAGGGAACTAAAGTTACCGACGGTTGTGGGCCACCATAAGGGAACCAAACCCACATCATTTGAACGAGCAGCCAGTGCTCTTAACTGCTGAGCCTTCTCTCCAGCCCCTATTAATGCTTTTTTAAAAAAAAATCTGCTTAAAGAAGTTCCTATCTACTTCTGTTTTTCTGAGACTTTCATCTTAAATGTGTGTTGATTTTTGTCAGACAGTTTCTGTGACTTAATTGACAGGACTGCAGAATTTTTCTTCTATATACTTCCAATGTAGATTACACTGACTGGCTTTTAAACATTGGATCAGACTTATATCCCTGAAGCAAATCCCATTTGACCCTAATATATGGTTCTCTTTTCTATATTGCTAGATGTGTTTTTAATTTTTTTTTCTTACTGAATTTGTGTCTATGTTCACGAAGATGTTGGTTATGGCTGTCTCTGTTGCTGTTGCCCTTGTGGATTTGGTATCAGACTCTGATGGCAGCTCTATAAAATGATAGAGTGGGGTTCCCTCCCTCCTGTTTTCACAGAGAGATGTAGAATCGTGTGGACTTTACTACTTGAGTGAATTCTGAAGGGAAACCAACAGGGACTGGAGATTTCTTGGGGAGGGGCTTTTAAATTTTAAATCCACTTTCCTGGATGAGTTGTGGCTTAGTTTTTGTTTTCTGGTTTTTCGAGGCAGGGTTTCTCTGTAGCTTTGGAGGCTGTCCTGGAACTCTCTCTGTAGACCAGCCTGGCCTCGAACTCACAGAGATCCGCCTACCACTGCCTCCTGAGTGCTGGGATTAAAGGCGTGCGCCACCACCATCTGGCTGTTTGGTGACCTTTTAAAAGAGTTAGATCTTGTATTAGTGGTTGGCTTTCTATCTCTCTGCTTTCTCCTCTCTTTGTTCCTGTGTCCTACTCTTTACTGCTCCTCCCTTCTTTCTGCTGTGGCTTTGCTTTGTGAGTTCTCACAATGGGATCCTGGGCTGGTTATCCTGCTGAGTTTTCCCCTCTTACAGCATGCAGGGCTCCATGTCCTTTTTAGCCGTGTCCCACAGCAGAACCTTGAAGTGTGGTGTTTTCGTTTTCATGAAATTCAACGTCTTTTTGAATTTTTTTTCTTGAAACTTCCTCTTTTGCCCATGAATTGACTAGAAAAGTGATTAGAATAGTGGCTCGGCAGGTAAGAGCTCTTCTTGCTGCCACCTCACCTCCTGAGCTTGAATCCCAGGACCCATGCAGTAGAAGGCAAGACTAACTCCTGCAGGTCATCCTCTGATCTACACAGGTACAGCATGGCATTCATGTGGGTGCTCACACCCCCACACTCACACACACACTCACAAACACACTCACTCACACACACACTCACAAACACACTCACTCACACACACACTCACAAACACACTCATTCACACACACACTCACAAACACACTCACATACACACTCACAAACACACTCACTCACATACACACACTCACTCACATACACACTCACAAACACACTCACTCACATACACACACTCACAAACACACTCACATACACACTCACATACACACTCACTCACATACACACACTCACAAACACATTCATTCACATACACACACTCACGTACACACTCACTCACATACACACACTCACACACACACACTCACTCACATACACACACTCACAAACACACTCACAAACACACTCACAAACACACTCACTCACATACACACACTCACACACACATATGCTCATACACTAACACACACCACACACATACCACACATATATACCACACCCCCACATTCTCACTCATACACACACATACACACTCACACACTCATATACACATACACACTCACACACTCATATACACATGCACACACGTGTGTATACAATACACTAACACACACACACACACAGTACTGTTTGATGGCTTCTGAATTTATATGACGAGCAACTTGAGTTAATCCAAACTGTTACTTTTTCCAAATGTTTTAAGACAAGTAATCTAAGACCACACTGCACAAAGCTGAAAGCTCCCCACGACCCTGCCAGTGGAGGCCGTTTCTCTTCCCTGGTGGGTGCAGGCCTCTCAGAAGGCCTGTCGTTAGACCCACACGCCGCTCAACTGTGACTCTGTGAGTGACACTCTGAGTTAGGCTTCTAGGACATGCCATGAGAAGTGACTTTTCTTCTTTCAGGACGTGAAGCCAGGCGGCCGTGTGTTATCTCTTACTTGAAAGTGTGATGTTCGGGGTCTTAGGTAGAGTACACCCTGTGAGTGAGTCAGAGACACAAGCTTGAAATAAAGATGCCATTACTTACAGGTGGCCTGTAGGCCGCACAGAGAGGCCAGGAGCACAAGGACAAAGACAGAAGGTGACCTGTAGGCTAACACCTTTATTGTGTCCCGAGAATTACCCTGTGAGGCTCCTCGGGGGAGCTTTAATTGGTGATGTAAAACAAGCAGACGGAGTTCTGAAAGGTCACAGTGATGAAATGGTTACTGTGGCACAGGGCTGGCTGCACAGTGTGTGCAGGGTGCGGGGACAGGAGGGTGGGTCCGGGAGGCTGTGTCCAGCTGTCCGTAAGGAGGTGGTCACCAGGAGGGTGGGTCAGGGAGGCTGTGTCCAGCTGTCCGTAGGGAGGTGGTCACCAGGAGGGTGGGTCCGGGAGGCTGTGTTCAGCTGTCCGTAAGGAGGTGGTCACCAGGAGGGTGGGTCAGGGAGGCTGTGTCCAGCTGTCCGTAGGGAGGTGGTCACCAGGAGGGTGGGTCCGGGAGGCTGTGTCCAGCTGTCCGTAGGGAGGTGGTCACCAGGAGGAAGTGGGTCAGGAAGGCTGTGTCCAGCTGTCCGTAGGGAGGTGGTCACCAGGAGGGTGGGTCAGGGAGGCTGTGTCCAGCTGTCCGTAGGGAGGTGGTCACCAGGAGGGTGGGTCAGGGAGGCTGTGTCCAGCTGTCCGTAGGGAGGTGGTCACCAGGAGGAAGTGGGTTAAGGCAGACATCTGGACTGACTCCTGGGTAGATGGGAAGCAGACAGTCGGAAGCTGGGCTGGGGTGACTGAACCTGCTCAGGAGTGAACTTGCAGTGAGTATAAGGTCACATGACACCAGCAGGGTTTCCTACAGGTAGGGAAGCATTTAGGGTTCAAGAGGTCGATCCACATTGATTCATTCTTTTTTGGTTTTTCTTGTTGTTTTAGGAAGGAGGGAGGGAAGATTTATTTATTTTATGTGTACGAGTGTTTGACTTGAATGTAAGTCTGGGTACCATGTGCATACCTGGTACACATGGAGGTCAGAGGGTCCCCTGGGACTGTGAACCTCCGTGTGGGTGCTGGGAATCAAACCCAGATCCTCTGCAAAAGCAGCCAGTGCTCTTCACCACTGAGAGATTTCTTCAGCCTCCCAACAGTCAATTTTAATGTCTAACAACAGATGTTAACTCTTCTGCTTGGGGTTTGGTTTGGTTGTTTTGGTTTGGATTTTAAAGTCAGGATCTTGCTACATAACTCTGGTTTATTGAGTCCTTGCTGGTCATCCTCCTGCCTCTGCCTCCCACACATGAGCATTTTAGGGGATTGTTCCTTTCCTCCTCTTTTTTCCACTTTAGACAGGATCTCCTTGGGTGCAACTTAAAGCTGACCTTGAACTTGTTCTTCTCACCCACCTGGCCCCTCTAACTCTTGCTCCCCCTCCCACGTGCTGGGATATAAAGCCGTGCTGACCTGAAATTATTATCAATAGTAGAATATAAATCTACTTACAGATTCATCATATTTAATTTAACAAATCCTGAGGTCCACAAGATGGTCCAGCAGTTTAAAAAGGCCACCTGAGTTTGGTCCCCCAAATCCACACAATGGAATGAGAGCTGATTCCTGCAAATCGTCCTCTGACCACCATGTGCATGCTAAGCACACATGTGTCGCCACCACACACAGACAGGCTGTGCCGATTCTCACCGTGTTAAATGATACTGTGGCGCGTATCTTTTGTGTTCCTGATCACTTACTGGAAAACAGGCGCTGGATGGAAACACAGGGACGTCTTTAGCTTTTGAGTTCCGTTGACGGACTAAATTACTAAAGGATTTTCCTGGCTGTGCTAGTTTGGTTTGCTTTGTTTTGGTTCCTGGGGCAAGTTAAGCACGGGAGCCACCGTAGAAGAATCTATGAATTCCTTTATAGGGTCTCTGAGTTTGGGGTCATAAATGCATGGTTAACTGGGACAAGAAGGTCTCCCCCTTTCTCAAGAGCACAGACGGAATCACTACAGAGGATAGTGACATGGCCATCTGCACCTTCCCATAGGTCTCAGCATTCGGGCTGGTCAGGAAATAGGAAAGAAGCAAGTTATGATCAGCCTGGGACCTGAGACCTTGTAAAACCAGCCACCCAACCCAGTTTTACAGGGCAGGCAACAAGAGGCCAGGCCTGCTCCACCCAGCCTGCTTCCTCTCCACAGGCCCATCCTGAGAACACTATGTTTTCCCTCCAGCGGTGCCATTGACCCCACTCTGTCATCGTAATTGTCCCCATAAAATGAGCACTAAGGGAAAGCTACCCATATTTAGAGCCCACAGGCCAGCCTGCCTTATCTAGCTGTGGCGGTACCTGGAGAACATCAGCCTGGGCATTGGCAAGGAACCAGTAAGAGCAGGCAGCAGAGAAGAGGGGAAACCTTTATGGAGGTCCTGCTCCCGGTGACTGACAGGCCAAGCATCATTCCGTAACACCTGCAGCTCACGCGGAGATGGTACCTTTGGTGACCTTGCTGTCTCCATGTCCTTCCTCCCAGCCTGTACTGCATCGCTCTCTCTTCTTTGGTTTGTAGAAAGAGAAGAACTCATCCAGGGTGTGCTGGCCCAGGTGGCAGAGCAGTTCTCCAGGTACTGTGCATGCACTCTCCAGGCTTCTGGGAGCTGACCCTAGCCATAATCAACTCTCTGGAACTTGTGTAGCTAGCCTAACCTGGAACATTCTAGCAAACCTTCGTCTTATCCCCAAAACCGCGTCCAGTAGCTGCTTGTAGATTATGAGTTCTGGGGGTGGGGGTGGTAAATCCACCTGCTCCCCATTCTTCCAAGACTTGGAGCTGCCTGCAAAACACCCTTTTACAAATGAGTGTTTTCCCCTGAGATACTCTGTGGGTGGGGGGGGGGCTTCCTTTTCTTTCACCAATACCCTATTAATTCCCTGTGAGTATTGTCAGTTTCTCAAAGTGATTTCTGTGTGGTATCTTATGCCACCTTTGAACCACCAGGGAGCATGGCAGCACTCCAGACCTATCCGTGCTGGGCAGGGCTGGGTGCAGGCTTGTGTCAACCCACCTTAAGTCTGCACAGAGATCCCAGGACAAAGTAGTAAAGATGCTAGACCCAGGGACATTATTCCTTCTTTAAAAGCACCTCCTGCCCTCTTGGTCCCCTCCCTAGCCTCCTTGGAGACCTCACCTCAGGCAGGGACCCATAAATGTTTGCTGGTCTGGGTCATGTTTTATCTTTTCTCCCCACTTTTTCCCCCCAGAGCGTTTAAGATCAACGAGTTGAAAGCAGAAGTTGCAAACCACCTGGCCGTGCTGGAGAAACGAGTGGAACGTGAGTGGAGGTTTTTTTGTTTTTTGCCCCCCCCCCCCCTTTCTGCTTATGCCCTTTAACCTCTGTCAGAATTAGCCGCTTAGAGTCTCGAGCAGGTTAGTACCGACGGCAAACGCATCCTTTCTTCATGTACCGCTTTGATACCCACAAAGGCTAGACAAGGACAGATCTGAGCATCGTGTCTGTGAAGAGCAGCTTGTACAAAGCTTTGTCTGTGCACAGAACACAAAGTAAAATCCCACATGGTCTCCGTCTGGCCCAGCAGAGCCTCTGCCAGGGCTCCAGCTCTGTGCCTCTCAGCATGAGGGGGAATCGTCTCTTGGTACCGACCGCTACGCAGCGTGCTTCTGCAGAGTTTGGAACAAGTGATGTGTATGACGTCTGGATGTCTGTGTTTAGCCTCCGCTAAAGGAAAGCAGAAACTCTGCCTGTGAAAGAGAGTCGGGTCCAGTCTGCAGCCAGCTTCTAAGAAGCCAGATTTGGGGAGGGAAGCAGTTCCGAGTCACCTCACCTGTAGTGAAGGGGTCAATGACAGGATCAATGCTTACACGCCATAGGCCTGTAGATCCCACACTCCCGCAGCTCCACAGCCAGTCTCTCTGTCACTGTCAGGCTCGGCCTGGCAGTACATGGGCACCTAATTCATTAACTAGGACAGAGTAAACAAAATCCAAACAGAAAGCCATTAAGAGGCAGGCAGTCCCAAAGAATGTGTGGCAGAGTCTGTTCGGGAAGATAGAGTGGACGTCTTTTTTTTTTTTTTTTTTTTTTTTGGTATTTTGTCTTTTAATTGCTTCTCATTTTTTCAAGAAAAAAATTCTTATCATGCAAGACCTGGCTCACTGGGGTAAGCGGAGACACGTTCCCACCGTCTCGTGTGTACTCCTCAGAGTGTGTTGGCTTTTCCCAAGTCACCTGGTCTCTGAGTCCTCAAGACTGCCTTGTCTTGCCTGGCATGATGAGGAGCCACGGAAGCAGCTAGTGACCGCCCCGGTTCATTCAGCAAATGAGACAAAAAAGAGAGACCAGTGTCTGGAGTCCTTGCCGCCTTCCATTGGGGAGGCATTGTCCTCTGCACACCCGTCTGGAGGGTGCAGACAGGTGTGCAGCACCATGGCTGTTCCAAAAAGAAGAGGGTTGTTTTTTCCCCCTAGGGGTCTGGGGAGCCCACCTCTTTCCTGGAGGGTGTGGTGCAGGTGACACTGCCACCACCATCACCATCCTTGTCACCCCTCTGGCATTCTCTCATTTGGATCCCCACTGCCTTCGCTACCGCTGGCACCAGGTTCAAAGCCTGCATGGAGCTGGTCCAGAGGCTCCCAAAGGACAGTCAGAGCATGGCGGGGGGAGGAGGGGTGTACTCCTGTGGCCACCTCAGCAAAGCGTCGCAGGCATAAATCACAGCAGCTCTGGCTCAGAAAGTGTCAGCAGGGTTGGCTCCTCTGGGATCTGAGGGACGGTCAGTTCGAGGCCGACTCTGGTAGTCGGTGGTGACCAGCCACCCTTCCCGCTCCTTGGCTGGGATTAGTCCGTGGCTGCAGCCTGCCTCTGCCTGCGTGTGATTCCCTCCCTGCAGCCACCGTATCTCAGTATGTTTCTCGAGAAAACGCCTCTATTTGAATCAAGGGTGGTCCTGCCCAGAGTTCTCTATCTAATATCTGCCGAGGGTCTTTCATCTAAATCAAACAGAACTCACAGGATCCAGGGGTCAGGATGGAAACACATGCTCTCTGCAAGACACAGTTCAGCGGTGAGCATTCAGCGTTCCCATCTTCGTCGTGGGAGACCAGCTTAGTCTCCTGCCAAGCTGTGTGGAGCACTGGACTCCCTAACTGTGAGAAGGGCCTTAGCCGCAGACCATGAAGGAGTTGGCTGGCAGGCCACTGTCCACATCAACAGACACTTAAAGCCACAGTCACCATTATGACTGCCACACACAGCAGGTGCCTCCTCATCTTCTACTCATCTAACGCCTTCCTCTTCTTCCGTCCCAGGTCCCCAACTGTGGGTCTCACTTCCTGGCAGCCCGTGTCTTCTTGCGTCCCCCTGCCCCCCACCCCAGGAGTGACCTCGTATGCACAGGCTCTCCGCCATTGAAATCCAGCTGGCTCTGGGCTCATCTATCCCTGGCCCTCTTAGCCGACAACTTCCTAGTCTCCAGAGACCTCTCGTCTAGCATGGGTGTAGCCAGGAATGCCACCCGTGCCGATCCCCAGGGACTTTGAGTTTCAGGGAAGCTCAAGCGCAGACACTTAGTTCCTCATTCTGAAGATGCAAATAGGGGAGACAGAGTGGAAGGTTTGAGCAAGGCCCACAGCCAGACCTCCGTCCTGAACAGGACACAGGGAATTGTCCAGCCCGGATGGTCCTGACCCTGGGTGGCTGGGAGGGCTGCCAGGAGTCGCCGCTCCATACAGACACACAACCATGCACAAACTGTTCATAAGGACGCAGACAGACACACTCACGGGCATGTGTGCCCGGGCAGCTTCATCTGGTTGTTCTGTGTCTCAGGGTGAGGGACATCCAGCTAGCGTGGCCACCTGCAAACCCCAACACTGTGCGGACCTTGCCATGAGTGGAATTTCCTGCTTGCCCTTTGGCCTTAAGCCAAATACATGTTTCTCCTCCGTGACTTCCAGTGCTTTTCTCCCTTTCTGTGTCAATGTTTAGCTTTTAAGGAGTCTGGGATTGCTGGTGGGTCAAAGGTGATTTTGCAGCCGTGAAACAGCCTGTCCTTTGCCTCCTGCCCTGCCTGGGGCACTTCACTTCCTTCCTGGTGCATGCACGTGCCGGGGGCGGGGGCACAGGGCAGCCCTGCTCCATCCACCCTTTGTACCCATGCCCTGGACCTGAACCAAGACCTAAACACCAGTGTGGGCCACGGCCAGCACTCACCCCCAGGGGCCGAGCTGGACACGGGCACGCAAACAATCCGGAGCTTCCATACTGAACTGAACCAAGCCAGCCTTCCCGAGTTGCTCAAGAAGTGTGCCTGAGGCAAACCTTCAGAGCAGCCTCGGGAAAGCACTGGAAAGCAGCTCTCTGCTCTCTGCCTTTGAGTGTGTGGGGGGGGTTGCACACACACACACACACACACACATACACACACACCCATTCTGTGGGGTCGTAGTGTGGAAGAAGGTGAAAACCACCTTAGCTACTGCTACGGTCCTTCTCCACAGAGCCACCGCCTCTCTTAGGAAGTCACTCGTGCATTTGTTTCACTGGGAGACAACAAGGTTCAGAGCCCACAGAAAACCCTTCTGAAGTTGGAGCTGGAGAGAGGGCTCAGCGATTAAGAACACTGGCTGCAATTCCGGTGGACCTGGGTTCAATTTCCAGCACCCACCAACATGGCCACTCACAACTGGATCCGATGTTCTCTTCCGGCCTCCTCAGGCACTGCACTTAGGTGGTGCAGAGACACCCATGTGGATAAAACATATATATATTGAAATCCACATACACTTCTCAAGGTTTCAAAGCAAGGTAGCTCTGCATGTCAGCAAGTCTGTGTTGACTGTGTCACTGGGACCCTGGCAAGGTTAAATGGTTCAGAGGGACCTCCATTTTAGCTTGGGGTGTCTGTGCCTATCTGTATGTCTAGTTTAGAGGGGACAAGGGGTCCCCAATAGATGAAAATTGGGCCAGGCCTTGAGTCCCACAGCTTCCCACCATTGTCTGTGGAGGCCTCTGAGTACGAAGCACCTGCCCTCTAGAACAGACTTCCTTCTCCATGATGCGGTGGCAGGGGACTGGAAGCAAGTCACCAGAACCAGAGCTGAAGAGGCACTGTCCCCGTGGAGCCCTATCCCAGCTCGGTTACTACCTTGGAAAGTTCTGGAATGCCCAGAAGGAGGTGGGGTCACACCAGGCTGCCTTCGAACAGACACCCGAGCTGTGGCTCCTCTTCCTGGGTGGGAGGAATTGTTAGGAGCCCACGAACTCCCAGAATCACTGTTTTTCCTTTAGAACAGGCCATGCTATGTGTTTAACTGTTATTCAGAGCCCAGCTCAGTGAGGAAGGGACTGTGCTGGCCAAAAACTGAGGTGTGGTCATAAAATAACAGATAGAATTTCTTTTCTTCCTCAAGAACCCAACTTTGGGGCCCTGGAGAGATGGTTCAGAGGTTAAGAGCACTGGCTGTTCTTCCAGAGAACCAGGGTTCAATTCCCAGCACCCACATGACGGCTCACAGCTGTCTGTAACTCCAATCCCAGCAAATCTGGCACCCTCACACAGACACACATGCAGACAAAACACCAATGCACATAAAATAAAAGCAAGTCATTTAAGAACCCAGCTCTGGGCAGCATTTCCGAGGGAACATCTGGGCTAGTAGCTTGTTGGCAGGCACACTCTCCAGTTAGTTAGCTGGGACCCCGGGAATGTGACTGAGTTTTACCCTGCTCTTCCCTGACGTTGCCTGTTTGTTTCTTGACTGGTGGGGGGGTGAGGGAACCCCACATATCAGTAGCATAGGAAGGCGTGGAAGCCTCTGCTGTGAGCCAGCGTCCTCCTGAGACCCTCAGCTACCAGCCTAGCTAGATCTCTGCTATTGTTTCTGGTGACCCCCATCTTTGTCTCTTTGTCACCAGTGGAAGGACTTAAAGTGGTGGAGATCGAAAAATGCAAGAGTGACATTAAAAAGATGCGGGAGGAGCTGGCAGCTAGAAACAGCAGGTAAGTCTGTGCCCGGAGCCTACAGCCGCTGGGCCTAGGGAGGGCTCTGTGTGCGTGGAAACCATGGGATGGGATATGACTTTGTTTCCCCAAATAGTAAAGCCAATGGGGCTTGGCTGTTCTGGTTCCAACACAGTTGACCCAAGCTAGAGGAGGCCTGTTGTATCAAAGCCACTCGACTCCATTTTCTTAAAGAATTTCGTTTCATTTTTTTTAAGATTTATTTTGATTTTATGTGCATGGGTGTTTGCCATGTATGTGTGTGTGTGTGTGTGTGTGTGTGTGTGTGTGTGTGCACCATTTGCGTGTCTGGTACCCATGGTGGCCAAAAGAAGGTGTTAGATCCTCCGGAACTGGAGTTACAGGCAGTTGTGGGCTGCCCTGTGGGTGCTGGGAATAGAACCCAGGTCCTCTGCAAGAACAGTGCGTGCTCATATCTGCTAAGCCATCTTCCCAGCCCCCTGTGTTTTCTTAAAAAGGGGTTTTGTCGCAGGTGTGAGCTGGAAAATGTCCAAACATGAGAGGAAATAACTTCTCTCCAGAACTGTGTTACGGTAATTCCCCCACTTGAAGGAAGTTAGTGTCTGCTTTTTTGTTATTTTGTTGGGGGGGGTTGTTTTTATTTGCTTAGCTCTGGTTGTCTTGGAACTCACTCTGTAGACCAAGCTGGCCTTGAACTCACAGAGATTCATTCACCTGCCTCTGTCTCCTGCGTGCTGGCATTAAAGACATGTGCCACCACACCCAACTGTTACCTATTTTTAGAGAGAATAAGAAGACAAAAGTGTTTGAGTTACAGAGAACAAACACCCAGTTTTCATCCTCGGGTCTCCCAGTTCCCATGGGGAGCAGAGTACAGTGAGTATTCCCATTATCATGAACTTGGAATACACAGCCTGTCAAAGGCGATGTCCTCTGAGGCCTGTGACCAACAATCCAAGTAAAACATGCCTTCTGAATGGTTGGTCAGCAGGACTATCCACTAAAGCCGGAGTGCACCGCTATAGAGCAACCTCCTGAGCACGTACCAGCCCTGAACAAATGACCTCAGTTGTCTTAGAATCCCAACAGCTACTGGAGACCACTGCCTGAATTCAACAAAGCCAGGCTGCCTGCTGAGGGCGGGGTGTCTGCAGGTAGGAGGTAGAGGGAAAGCTGGTGGTCCCCACGGAGTCCCACCATGGCCAGCCTGGTTGTCTCAGGGAGGGCATGGCACAGGGAAGAGAGATAACCGTGGTATCCTATGGGGACTCTGTCACATTCAGTGTCACATGGACTGGCCAGCTGGTGTAGACATAGGGAGCTCTTGTTCCATTTCACTTGGGTGCAGGCAGGGCAAAGAATCTTGCAGCCATAGGAAACAGAATGAACAGTTCAGGGGTCAAGAGAGTCCCTTATGTGTAACCTCTAAGAACCTGGGGTTAATGGGGGCAGATAATCGGCTGAGGCTGGGAGCCAACAGCCTCTGACCTAAGGCCTCACCCAGCCTGCTCTCACCCGGAGAGGTATGCCTCCTAGGACCAGGTAGGGGCAAGCAGCCTCTGTGCCAGCGCTGGCAGTCTGCCTGGAAATGTTCTTTGGCTTGGCTCCATGACAAGTGTACCCCTGTACCCCACAGGTACAGGCTAGAGCTCACACATAAGCCAGAGCCCTCCAGTGCCCCCAGAGGTTTGCAGAGGCGGCATTCTCTGTAGACAGTGCTGGGCATTCCTTGTAAGGGAGAGACGGGGCAGTGGGATGCTTCAGTCTCCACAGGTGGGTGAAATACTTCGCCTCCCTGTGAACCAACACATCCGGAGCACTGGGTGTAGCCCATGCCTGGTCCTGGCCCCAGCCCCTGTGGCCGCTTTTCTACCCAACCCAGCGGTTTAGTGCTCTGGATGCAGAATGGAGAATCTGAGTGTCTCTGCTGCCCCCCCCCGTCTTGTTGATGGAAGGAGCCCATTTTAAGTACAGACGCATACCTGGAAATCACCTGGATTGTGAAGGAAGGCTGTACCCTTGAGGGGTGCAGGTGCCACATTTCTGCCTTTCTCGGGGAGCATAGAGAATAGGAGATGGCGGGGGCAGAGGGGGTGCAGCTAGCCCCACATCATGAGCCTGGAGAACAGGCCGACATTAACCTACTTGTGAACACACCCTGACGGTTCTGAATCCACCATAGCCTACTTGGGGACAGCAGGGGACACAGACACAGCCTGCCAGCATCCTTGGCAGAATATCTTCTCCTTAGACCCCCCTCAGGCTCTTCTGCATCCCTGAAAAGAAAGGATTCCAATGGCCAGGTCACATTCAGGGCAGAAGCAAATCCTACTGGGGAACGTGGCTACTGTGGTCCCTGGCACCATGTAAGGCCAGGGTAGGGGTGATGCAGAAGCATGGGCCGGTGAGGCTTGGTGTCTGTAATCTCTGCCTTTGTCCCAGACAAACGGCCTTGACCTTGAACGGAGCCCCAGGGGAGGGGAGGCTGGGGAACCCAGGAAATGAGGCAAAAATGAGCTCTAGACAGAACAAAAAGAAGAGGCGCCGTGCCAGTTGCTCAGCCAGCTGGAAGATTCTGGTTCCTGTGGCAACGGGGCCCAGAGTGAAAGTGTCTGGCCGAGGCAGGGTCAGCAGGCACCAGCATCCTGGTCTGCCCCCAAGGCCTCAGTTAGCAGGACAGGACCAGATCCCAGCAGTCAGCGTCATGCCTGGTGAGGGCTTCCATATGCTCTGGGGGAATGCAGGAAACGCACAGGACAGAACGCATGTGCAAATGTTTATACACACGAGGCAGAGGGAGAAGGGAAGCAATGTGCCCTACATACAAGAGGGGCTGATCCGAAATCAGGGGGGGTGGCTTGTGGGCGAGGCAGGGGTGGAACGGCTTCACTGAGCTATTGATTGGTTCCTTCTGTTACAAGCTTACCAGATCTATGCTTGGTACAGCGACCGTCACAACAACCTGATAGTTTTTGCAAGTGTGCAGTCGGGAGGGAGGCCACCAAAGGCTGTGTTTCAAAAGGAATAGATTTATGATTCTGGACTTGGAAATATCACAGAGTCAGGGAAGACTCCAGACAACCCAGACAGAGTCAAGGGGGGATCAACGGTAGTGACAATATCCAGGCATGCCTTCAGTTTAAATTCAATGCAAAGTCTCCCTCCCCGGTGTCTCCCTGGGTGTGTTCACCTCGTTTTGATGAAAAGAAAAAAAAACTTTAAAATACTGTTTTGTGATATTTTTTACTTGTAATGTTATGAAAAAAATAAGTAGATGAAACTGTAACTGTACAGTCATAGATTTTTCCCACACCAAGTGCAGTTGGAAAGCTCATGTGTCTAGCTGTGTATTTCTCTGCCTCACTTTCTGAAAGGACACCCCCAAACTCTTATCAGAGTGGCTTCCAGGGTGTGGGGCTGAGGGAGAAAATGGGCGAGTGAGGACTTGAGGGTTTCTTTTTATTCTTCTCCTGTGTTTGTTGGGTTTTGTTTGCTTTGTGTTGGGATTTCCATCTATAGCCCAGGCTGGCTGCAAACACAAGATCCTTCAAGCCTCATCACCTGGGTGCTGGCATCACAGGCAGGTACCACCACACCCTGCTGAGTCTTTGAGACTAAGAATGTTCTGCGGTGTGTAGAGTGTGGCTCAGTTGCCTGCTATGTACGGTGCCCTGGCTTCCGTCCCCGGCGCCAAATAAACTAGGAGTGGTAAGGAACCTCTGTAATCCTAGCATGCAGGCGGCTCAGAAGTTCAAGGTCATCCTTGATTATATAGCAAGTTTGAGGCCAGCCTGGGCTACACGAGATCCTGTCTCAGATAAAAAGGAAAAGAAAAGAGAATAGTTTGCTTGTGCCGTTTTTGAAAGATTTTGTAGATATCTTTTAAATAATAAACTAATAAATTATAATAAATTTATTTCTAAATTTTAAGTTTGCTAATTATAAATTAATAAAAAAAACTAAACTGAAAGTGAACTCCGACTGCATCATCACCCGGCTTTGAGGGTATCCCCTGTTTGCAGGCTGAGAGCCAAGCATCTCACAGCCTCCATGATGGATTCTCCTATGGCAAATCCAATGGGGAGGCTCCGTGCATTCCAGGGCTAGGGCTGTACAGGTCTGGAGCTGTGGCTATGGGTCCTGGGGCTGGAGCTGTGTGTTCTGATTGCTCCGCTGCCCTGAGCAGCACACAGAGCACCTCCAAGCCAGAGCATACTGCCATAACTAAGTTCTTCCTCTCCCCTCCAGGACCAGCTGTCCCTGTAAATACAGTTTTTTGGATAATAAGAAGTTGACACCTCGACGAGATGTCCCTACTTATCCCAAGGTGAGATGGATTTCTGGCCCAGGGACAATTCTAGCTCTGTGTCCCCCAGACCAGGGACATGAGAACCCATGGCTGGCCCCTCGCTCTGCACAGTGACAACAGCCCCTCTCTATCCTGTCTCGGGCTGAGGAAGGGTGGGAGGTTGTCAAGCAGGATATTTTTCTCTTGGACATTTGTTTAGAGAAGCAATTCCTGAGCGGGGGAGGTAATAGCCCTTCTGGCTCCCTCCCGGGCCCACAGCTGACAGTAAAAGACATCTGCGTGCAAACATTCCACTAAGGAGCTTTAACAAGGTTCTTAAAAACCTGCATCACGGGCTCTCCTATCCCTGAACAACACAGTCTTTATGGAAAGCTCTGCACATAAGTTTTCTGAGTTTTAAAAGCAGCCAAGACCCACGTCAAGTAGCTGTGGCCTGGATCCAGTTAAGTTGCTTCAGATGCCTACAGAGATCGAAACCTTCGCAGCGTTGGCCTCCTCTTAAACCCTGATAAACGCTTTTGCGCTGAGTTTAGGCCACCCACAGGTTCTCCTGGGGCCCACTAGTCAGTGATTTGCTCCACATCGATCCTAGCATGCACTGTGTATCATCCAAGAGACCAACCCCTTTCCGCATGGGGAAATATGGCCAACATCTTTTACGATCCTATCCGGGGATTACACAGCCCAGACCTGGAACAAATTGAGTCAACCTTTCACACCAGTCCCTTCTTAAGAAAATGAAGAAGGCTAACCCGAATGGCAGCCCTCTGCTGCCTCACGTCTAGGACATCACCCTTGGTTCTGATACCCCTTCATCCACCAGTGTGTGAATTAGCTCAAGGCTGATTGTGGTAGTTCCCCCACAAGATGAACCCAGCAGAGCTTCTTGGCAGGGATTTGAGCATATGCCTAGTGGCTTATTGTCCCTTCTCTTCACTTTGTATAGCTTTTACTGTTGCGATCCGATTGACAACTGTGGAGCACATCTTCTTCAACTCTGACACTTGTAGTCATGAAATTGCCATCATGATAAATATAGGAAACATTTCTATCACTCAAGCTTTCCTAGGAGCCCCTAGTAGTCCATAATACTTGGAGCCCCTAGTAGCCCCTAGGAGTCCCTAGTAGCCCAGGCCATTACAGATGGGAGTCCATTGACAGTTTCCAGAAAAAGGCAGCCCTGAGTCTGTACACAGTGTCTGTGAGGGGGATTGGAGAATGGAGGAAATGCTCCCCAGGACCGCCATGGGCACAGCCTTTCTCACTCATAGACGCCCTGCTGTCTGGCTAACACACCACTCCCATCTTTCTAGTACCTGCTCTCCCCAGAGACCATCGAAGCCCTACGGAAGCCAACCTTCGATGTCTGGCTGTGGGAACCCAATGAGGTAGGTGAAGGACATCGGGTTCCCCAGTCACTGGGGATAGCTGCACAGGACTGCTAATTCAGACTGGGGACAGTGCCCAGGCTGCTCATCCTGTGTATTTACTTTCCTGTCTTTTTTAAACAAAATTTATTTTATTAACTTTTTATGTACATTGGTGCTTTGCTTGCATGTATAAGACCATCTGAACTGCAGTTAGAGAGTTGTGAGCAACCATCATGTGGGTGCTGGGACTTGAACCCTGCTCAACTGGGCTCCTTTGGAAGAAATGCAGGTGCTCTTAACCATCTCTCCAGCTTTCCTGTCTTTTTTTTTTTTAAAGCTAAACACCCCAGAATAGATTTTAATTCAAAATGGCATTCGATGGGTTTAGAGGGTTGCAAGGGACAGAGCCTAAGGCAAAGGGGTTTACTGGACCTTAAAACAAAACAAAAAAACAAACAGCAAACCCTTGGCCTTCTGATGGTGCCTAATACCCGTGGGCAACTGGCTGAATGCAGCCCCCTGGCTAGGCCGGCCAGTAGGAGACATGGAAGGATAGAGCCCCGTGAAGGCAGAGCTGCTGCCTGGAACAGCTGTTTCCTGCAGGGAGGGGCCTCCAGAGGAGCAGCCTGATGCAAGGAGGAGTTGCCAACAGAGGCCCCCAGACAGCTGGACACAAGATAGTGGATATGCGAGATTTGCAGAGAGAGGAGTCGCTTTTTGACAGGAAGATAGTTCCTCAAAATTTCTCATCCACTAAGAAATACCAGAGTGGACATTGAAAGAACAAGAACCCTCCTCATGGACAACCCTCCCCAAATAAGGACTCCTCCCAGCTTTTCCAAACCTCCTCTCTTTTCCAGTGAGGGCAATGACACCTCCACCACGGCTCTCTCCAGTGTCCTTCACACACCTACTTCAGGATGTGACCTCATTCTGTTCTGGCGCCTCTGATCCCTTGGGGAGTTGTCCTCGGGCTGCAGACAGTAAGGTGGTTGCCCTGCCACACTGGAGGACCACACACTGTCACCTTGGAAGTCTTCTCCTCTCGATCAGTACCCATCATCATCTCCAGAAACCACCGCTCGTTTGCTTCCTCAGCTGGGGTTGAGGACTGTCAAGGGAACAGGCCATCACTGCTTCCTCAGCTGGGGTTGAGGACTGTCAAGGGAACAGGCCCTCACTGCTTCCTCAGCTGGGGTTGAGGACTGTCAAGGGAACAGGCCATCACTGCTTCCTCAGCTGGGGTTGAGGACTGTCAAGGGAACAGGCCATCACTGCTTCCTCAGCTGGGGTTGAGGACTGTCAAGGGAACAGGCCATCACTGCTTCCTCAGCTGGGGTTGAGGACTGTCAAGGGAACAGGCCATCACTGCTTCTCTGAAAGCCACCGCGTCTATCAAAGGAGTGGAAGCAGATGGTTGCGTCTGGTGGTTCTCGGCATCTCTCTCTCAACTGTGATTTCACAGCAAATATTTCATCTCTCCGGGGTTGCTCAGAACACTGTCTGGGCCTCTGGGACAAAAACAATGGTTTGGGGCTGTAGCCCAAGGGTCCTGAGGGCTGGCATCCAGGATGGTGGGGGGACTGGAAGCTCTGGATGGACAGCCACTGCCAGCACCAGGAATCGGGCATCCTCAAGCCAGGGCCAGGGCATCCTCAAGCTACTCTGCAGGAGGCGCCTTCTAGGGCCGTCATCTTCAAAGCCATTGGCTTCTCCAGACAGATGAGTGCATGGCCAGCAAGTTCTCAGGGTGCTCCGTGACAGCCTAAGTCTCCCTAAGAGGTCTGGGTGAGAGACTGTTTTCGGTCTCCCAAATGAACTCTCTGCTGCCAACAGAGTTAAAATATCATAGTCACAAAACTTCACCTTAACTATAACACTCCCAGTCCACGCATATCACATAACAGAAAAGAAAGGAACTCAGTGGCATGCCCACACTTCTTTGACAGTCGACTATGTCAGACCACCAGAGCCTGGGCGGCTTCAGCAACTGCGATGTGTTATTGTCTTATTGTCCCAGAGCCAGGAGCTCAAGGTCAAGATGTCTTGGTTTGGTCATTCCTGTGCTGCCTCCTTAGCTTGCAGATGACATCTTCTCTCAGTCATCTTTGTGTGTCCGTGTCCTGATCTTTCACTACAGGGTCATGGTCAAATTGAATTGAGTTCCTCCTGATGACCACATTTATCTTAGTCGCCACTGTAAAAACCCTGTCCCCGTGTTGGTGGGGATGTCACAGCGGGGCCTCCAAATACCATGTTGATGGGACACAATTCAGTCCCTTACATAAATTTGCCACTTGGTGCCCAGATAGATGCAGGGCACACAGGCCAAGCTACAGCACTGACAACTGTTGCCCCATGCAGGGACCAGGACGCTGGTGCCCAGGACCAGGCCGGCACTGATGAGTGGCCTAGATGGAAGTACCCTCTGCTGGGGTCATGCCGTGAGTCCTCAAGGCTGTCTCACTCCGTTCTGTATTGCAGATCTCCTGTCTCCCTGAGACCCGCTTTTCCCAAATGCAAAGCCACGCTAGCCGGGCCCTGGTCACAAATTCCTTTTCTGTGCCTCATTGGCTTAGTGTCAAAACTCTAGGAGACGTTTGTAGAGACCTGGGAAAAAGACAGCAGAATTAAACGCCACGTGTGTCCTGCCCTACACCAAGTGTCTACAGATGACAGGATGCCCGGAAATAAGATTTCTCCAGACAAGAGGTCCACGCCTCCAGGTCAAGACTAAGACAGCAGAAAGCACCTCCAGTCCCAGCAAGAGAGCATGCTCCAGCTCATCAAAGCCCCTCCCACCTCTAGCCTTGAGCAAGAAGGGGTGGCCCTCAGTGACACCCCTTCCCACATGAACAGTGGATGGACTTCCTCCAAACCCTTAACCCTCTACTTGGGTTGTGGTCATTTTGCTGTCACCGTCTGAAGTCCTGTCTCCCTACACCTGTCATTACCATTCCTGGACTGCTCAAGGGGTTTTCTGACCTTGTCACTTCCCTTCCAGGAAGCCTGCAGGCTGTCACAGATCCACAACCCATCTGGGTGATCCTACAATTGGCCTGACCCCAGTCACCCCTCGAGTCAATGTTCAAGACAATGCATGGGATGGAGGGTCAGCAGGCCTGCCTGCTCCCCTGACCTCTAACCTCTGACCCCTGGCCCTATTCCCACAGATGCTGAGCTGCTTAGAGCATATGTACCATGACCTCGGCCTGGTCAGAGACTTCAACATCAACCCCATCACACTCCGCAGGTGGCTGGTAAGTGATGAGCGCCATGCTCAGACCTGTCACTTTCTCCCTGCCACATCGGAATGGCCTGCCCTACATTTCCTGGTGGCAGGGGGTAGCAGTGCCAGGGGAGTTCTGCGAGGTCACTTGTCACATCGGTCCTCCCAAGCCATCCCTCAGAGGATTGAGGAATTAGTACAGCAATCGGGGAGAGACCCACAAGGCAGCACCCTAAAGCAGGGGTGTCACCCGTGCCTGGGGGTGTGAGGGTAACAGGGTTATATGAGTGTGTGGGGTTAAGTCTTGAGTATATAAATCTGTGTGTGTCTCTGGGCGTGTATATGTGAAAATGCGTGTGGTTGTCTGGGAGTGCGTGTCTCTGTGGCAGTGTGGGTGTGAGAGTGTGCCTCTGGGAGTTTGTGAGAGTGTATGCATCTGGGTTGTGCATGGTGTGGGTGGAGATTGTATGTATGTATGTATGTATGTATGTATGTATGTATGTATGTGTAGGCATGGGAGCTTAGTAGCTGGACTTCTGCTAAGGGATAAAAGGTTATCGTGAATCAGGAACCGAAAGCCTGTTAATTGTCCCATAGGCCTGGGAACCTGGAGCCCCTTGCGGAATGCTTCCTGTCTCACTCCCAACTTTCTACCCCAGTGTGGCTCAGCAGACACCTGGGGGATACTTTAGACCCTGTCCCCAGGTTGTGCAGTGGTGGGACATTGCAGGGCTCTTGATCCACGCCTCCTGAGATGGTGAACTTGGGAACACCAGAGGCCTTGGGAGCCTTATGGGTGGGCGTAGGGGCTTTGAGGTAACCCTTTCCTCCCCACAGCTCTGTGTGCATGACAACTACAGGAACAACCCCTTCCACAACTTCCGGCACTGCTTCTGTGTGACGCAGATGATGTACAGCATGGTCTGGCTCTGTGGCCTCCAGGTGGGTCCTGCTAGCCCCACCCTCCATCCCTAACCCTGCTGAGTGCCTAAGTCCTCCGCTCCCTCCCACAGCCGGGGGGCGTATAACCTCTGCAGGGACTGTGTCCTCTCCTGTCACTGCAGCCCAGTCTGTCCCCACCCCTCCTGCCCTCCCACGAGGAGGACAGATGCCTGACTCTCACCTAATCCAGGAGAAGTTTTCCCAGATGGACATCTTGGTCCTGATGACCTCAGCCATCTGCCATGACCTGGACCACCCAGGGTACAACAACACGTACGTTTGGGTTTCTTTCTTGTTTCTACTTTGAAAAGTGCCCCTTCTCTCAGAGAAACTCAGCTTACCCTTCCACAGCTCCTAGGTGGAGTTAACAACCTAGACCCCCTAACCCTACAGGATGCTGTTCCCAACTTTTGGACTTTGTATAGAGTCCGGGGCCTCCCCTGGGAGGGTACCTCCAAGGCTACCAAGCCGCAAAGGCAGCCACAATCCCTTTGTGTCAGCCCCAGGCTCTGAAGGTGCATGGCAGTACCGACCTGCCCCCTCCCCAAGATGGGGGGCAGTAGGACCCCACACCGTTCTCTGCCAGGATGCTCCCTGTCCAGGATAAGGCACAGGCAGAGGACCAGGGTTTAGAGTGAGTGGGGGCAGGGCTGGGGCAGTGCCCATGGGGCCAGGAGGATGGGCCCAGGGCTGGGGACACTAAGTACCTCTGTCTCCATTAGGTAGAATGCTACCCCCATGGAACCGACAGACCTCCCTCGTGGTGTGGGCTTGCATTCAGGGACACAGGCTATTTTTCTAATGCTCCTTTGTGGCTTTGCAGTGACATCAGATGTCCTTGGGGCCACACCACCATTTGTCAGGACAGAATGAGTCCCAGGTGTGGCCATGAGCACTCCTCAGAGGTGGTCCCAGTAACTCATCTATTACCTTTCTGCACATTTATTGGTCACCACAGCTGCCAACGACATACCGGCAAAAAGTTCATTTTAGCATTAACCTCAAAATTCCACCCTCAGAATGGCACAATGGGGCTCTTCCTGTAACCCCAGTTCTTGGAGGCCAAGTGAGGCAAAAAGATCTCAGGTACCAGGTCACCCTGGGCTACAGAATGAGATTCTGTTACACATGCATATTCATATATACTTGGGGGGGGTAAGAAAACAAACCTGTTTCCTCTTTACTGAAATCCTGTCTTCGCATATACCGAAATCCAACAATTTTTGGAGCCTCAGTGCCTTCAAGGCAGCACCCCAGGGAGAGAGCTGAGGTCGTGGGTTGGATTTAAAGGCACGGGGTATCTAGTTACAGGAGCATGAGAGTCATCTGGTCACTAGCCCTTAGGTGTTTCCAGCTTCTGCGGGAACCATGTACACCACGGTATACAAATGCCAGAGGCAGGGTGTCTGAGCTTCCCACTCTCTGCACGCATCCTAGATACCAGATCAACGCCCGCACGGAACTGGCAGTGCGCTACAACGACATCTCACCGCTGGAGAACCACCACTGCGCCATTGCCTTCCAGATCCTGGCGAGGCCCGAATGCAACATCTTCTCCAGCGTGCCACCTGAGGGCTTCAGGCAGATCAGGCAGGTGTGTGGGGCCACGGCTGGTGGGGTCAGAGCAGAGCCCCACTCTTTGGAGACTCCTGGTTACGGCAGTACCCGTCAGGGCCCCTGAAACCAGCCTGCCTTACCTGCTTCCTCCAGGACCCAGAGTGGTCTCCAGGGAGATGGGCCTTTGCCATTTACACCTGATGTCACCTGCGTGTCATTGCCATAAATACAACCCTAATGGCTCCCTTTGAGATGGCTCCTGTGTCCCTGCAGTCAGGGAAGGAACTGAGGAAAGAAAGAGGAGTGTCTGAGACAGTACAGGGCCTGGACAGGCACCTACGGTGTGTGCAGCCTAGCAGAGATGATAGCGGCCATGAAGCTTCAGCTGCTATCACCCATCACGTAGGGTCGTGTCACTCATCTCCATCACGACCTGTACCAGCTGACTATCCTCCCTAGTCACCCCCGCCCTGAGACAACCACTTTTAGTCACATAAATCATTGCCCTCCCGGGCTGGAGAGATGGTCCAGTGGTTAAGAGTTCAGTTCCCAGCAACCGCATGGTGGCTTATAAACCATCCGTAATGAGATCTGGTGCCCCTTTCTGGCCTGTAGGCCTAGATTCAATACCCAGCACTGAAAAACAAAATAATAAACAGGATTAATAAATTAAGAAAAAACATCATTGCCCTCCCCACCCAAAAGGTTCTGTCTGCGCCATAACTGAGTGCTGAGCCATTAGTGCTGTTTACAGGGCATGGAAGGACCCAGGGTGACTCCTGTTGGAAATGTAGTGGCTCGAGGTAGCTGACCCTTAGAACCTTATGTGGAAGCAGGGGCGTCTCGGCGTACCTACTTGAGTAAGATCTCCGAGTGCTGCTGTGGATTGGGCCCTACACCATGACAGGTGTCCTTCCAAGGGGCAGAGGATAAAGAGACATGAAGTAAAAGACTGGGGTACAACAGAGGCAGATATTGGTGTAGATGAAGCCAAGGGAGCAGGAAGGAACCTTCTCTCAAGCCTTGGAAGGAATAAGAACATGCTGGCTCCTTCATCTTGGTCTTCCAGACCCTGGAACTATAAGGATTATATATCCCCAAAGCCAGCAGCACCCAGCCAGGCCCATCCAGGCTATATGCACATAAGGGACATCCCCGGACTCTCTGAGGGTCATGTGTTGCCATCTCTTGGGGATCGTGCCCTTTGGGTCTCAACTGGCCTCTTTCCCCACAGAACTAAATGGATGCCTCTTTCCTGGAGAACCTACAAGCTTGGCTTTTTCAAAGAGCAGCCACCTCATAAACCATTATTCCCTTGTTTGTCTGTTCCCGGAAGTTCAAAGCTAACTGTAGTGCCTGGCGGCAGTCAGCATCAATTCATGGCGAAGCTCTCTCCCCTATCTGCAGGCTTCTGCCTCTCTTTCATGTTCACAGCTCCACCCTCTAAATGTGTGCCACGGACTGTTATGACAAACTACAACCACCCTCCTCTATAGTGGGTAAAAGTCACGCTAGCAGGAGAGATGGCCACCCAGGCCAGTGCCACCCAGTGACTACCCAGAGGTCCTGACTGAGTATCCCTCAGTGTGTGGCTTTCTCCAGCAAGGTACATCAAGCAGCACCCCAGAAGAGAAAGACAGTCATCTAATTGGATGACTAGACAATAATAAGTCCCCACAAACAGGGTCTTCTTCATACTGGCCACCACGGGGATAACAAGGGCTTGTCCTATTCCAGAAGTCTATGAGTTTTAAAATAAGACTTTTTCTGGAAACAAAAACCACTTACCCAAATTTTTTAAAAAATTGTATTTTAAATAATGAGATGGCTCAGTAGGTACAGCACTCACCACACGAGCCAGACAACTTGAGTTCAGCTCCCCAGAGCCCTCATCAAATACAGACACAGTAGAACTAGTGTCTATAATTGCAGTGCACACCTACAGAGAAACGAGAGGCGGAGACAGAATTCACTGGCGCTCACAGGCCAGCTAGTCTCGTGGACACTGCAGTGAACACCAGGAGACCCTGCCTCAAACAGGGCGGAAAGCAAGGACCGACAGTCGAGGTTGTCCCCCGACCTCCACATGTGCTAATTATGGCATGTGTGTACCCACACTCACACATACAAAACAGTTTTGTCATTGAAGATGTAGAGGGATAACTGAATGTTCTGTTAATAACAGGAAAAAAAGTTCGTAATTCAAAATGCAAGATGATGTGTCACACACATACAAGAAATATACATTTGAAATTCTTCATGTTGACTATTTGACTTTGGCATTTGAGGCTGGAGGTCTTATTGGAAAAGTGAAGCTCTTCCCCTGGTACAGAGATGTTATACAAATATTTTCTGGGATGGATGACGGATGGATGACGGATGATGGATGGATGATGGGTAGGTGGGTGGGTGGCAGGTGGTTGGAGAGATGGTGGGTGGGTGTGAGAATGAAAAGATGGATGGATGGATAGGTTGAGTGCAGATGGATGAGTGGGGGAGTGGGTAGCAGATGGTTGGGTGAAGGATGGAAGGAAGGATGGGTGGGTGGATGGTGAGTGGATGATGAATGGAAGGATGGGTAGACATCTAGACAAGTAGAATACAGCAGATGCATGGAAAGCTAGATGGACAGGAGAAAAGAAAGAATGGGTTGCGCTACTTTTCCTAAACCAGTATTTACTATAATAAAATACCACAGACTAGGTGATTTTTTTTTTTTTTGGTTTTTCGAGACAGGGTTTCCCTATATTGTTTTGAAGGCTGTCCTGGAACTTGCTTTGTAGACCAGGCTGGCCTCAAACTCACAGTGATCTGCCTGCCTCTGCCTCCCGAAGTGCTGGGATTAAAGGCATGCACCACCAACACCCAGAAGACCGGGTGATTTTAAAAGGGAAGAGGTTTGCATTCACTTAGGGTTTTGGAGGTTGGGAAGACTAAGAGTTTGGCATCCACATCTGCTCTGTTTCTGGTGAGGGATATGGACAGAAGGTTAAAGGACAGGAGTGAAAACTCACTCCCTGTGGATTTAACCCAGTGCTGGGTGGGCTGGGGGAGAACATGAACTGCTGCATGAGGATTGAACCCAAACACTCCTTAAGGATCCTACTTCTGCTTAACACAGTCACGCTAGAGACCAGACTTGAACCTGAGTTCGGGAGGGCATCAGCCCCGTTCAAACCATAGCATAGCTATAGTTTACAAGCCCATTGGGTCCTCTTTTATAAGCTTGATAGTGGGAATGTTGCCAAGTATGTTCTGACTTAGATAACCTATGTGCAGCCACATATAGATGGGAAAATTGTCTTGGAAACTCCATTGCTGATACCCATCAGCAAGCTCTGAGCAGGGCTAATTGCAGACCTTGGTGACTAAATGCATGCTTGAGCCTTGGCTAAGATCTGCTTAGCTTTCCAGTTCAGCATGACGACCCGTCTGTTACCCTGTCAGCCTGTGATTGCAGCCTGTGGACATGGCGCAGGGACAGAGCACATGTGTGAGCGACGGTCACACAGGAGCTCAAAGCACAGCGTGAGGAGCACTCGCTGAGGTGGGGAGCACTCACTGAGGCTCTGGCACGTGGTGGTTGACACCGTGTCCTCTTACCATCTAGGGGATGATCACGTTGATCTTGGCCACCGACATGGCAAGGCATGCCGAAATCATGGATTCTTTCAAAGAGAAAATGGAGAATTTCGACTACAGCAACGAGGAGCACCTGACCCTGGTAGGTTGTGTCTTTTGTGTCTTTGGAAAGCTTAGTTGGGAAAGCCAGGAACCCAGATGTCTCTCTCACCTGGCCATGGAGTGCTGGAGTGACTGGATTTCAGTATCGCAGCTCCTCCTGGGCCAACAGAAGACAAGGCTGCCTCCTGAAGTGTAACTACATGGGTCAAGAACAGCCTTCTCCTTCAAGGAGGTGGCCTAAGTGTGCGTGGTGTCTGTCCCTTCTAGAAAGCAAAATGCAAACCCAGCATGCTGGTTCATTCCTGTAATCCCAGCACCAGAGAGGCTGAGGCAGGAAGATTGCAGAGACTTCAGCCCCACCTGGGCTACATATAATGAATTCCGAGCCAGCCTAGGACCCTATGTCAAAATTTAATTAACTTCAAAATGAGTAACCATCTGAATCCCAGCATTCAGACATTAATTGCTCTGTGCCTTACTTTCTCCAAAGTCTCTTTTGAAGCTGTTTATCTCTTTAAAACAAATACCTTGGGGCTGGAGAAATGGCTCAGCAGTTAAGAGGTCTTGCTGTTGTTGCAGAGGACTTGGGTTCAGTTCCCAACACCCACATGGCAGTTTACAACCACCTGTAATCCAGATCCAGGGATCTGATGCCCTCTTCTGGCCTCTGCAGGTATTGTATACATATAGTTCATATACACACATGCAGGCAAAACACTCGTGTATATAAAATAAAAATAAATAAGTCTTTAAAACCAATAACGTCACCTTGCCCCTCCAGAGGAGCTGACAGACAGTAAACAAAGATGCCTTTCTTAGGTCGGGCTGAACCTGTGGCTTCCCATTCCATGACACTGAGCTGTCAGGATCCCTTACTGCAAAAGGCTGAATGGCAGTGAGCAGGCAGAGCTGCAGAGGAGGAAGGGCCCTTGTGGCCAACACCTGGACAGTGAGAGGATGTGTCTTCCCCGGGTCAGGGCCTCTAAGAGCGCCCCCTTTCCAGGGAAAGAAGAGAGGCACACTTGTCTCCAGCCCTTAGGGGACACCTCTCACCATCCCAGTGACCCAGGGAGTGCCTGAAGCCATGGGGAGGCCAAACCTGGCGTATACTGCTTGTCTCCAGCCCTTAGGGGACACCTCTTACCATCCCAGGGAGTGCCTGAAGCCATGGGGAAGCCAAACCTGATGTATACTCCTTTTTCCTACTCACACATCTCCGCAATAAGCTTACAGACTAGGCGCAGGAGAGCCCAACACCTAAGTAAGGCAGGATAAAAGGGGACACCACAGTACATAATGGGCAGACAGTGTGTCCCAGAGGGACCAAAATCAGAAAGAAGACTCCCATCCTGGACGGGATGAAAATGGCCTGAGATGTTGCTCACATCAGCATGGGGGTTAGAACCGATGGGCTATTTACTTCTGGAAGTCTCTACTTAATATTATTTGGGTGACTAAAAGCACAAGAAGCAAGGGCTGAAGAGATGGCTCAGGGGTTAAGAGCACTGACTGCTCTTCCAGGGGTCCTGAGTTCAATTCCCAGCAACCACATGGTGGCTCACAACCATCTACAATTCAATCTGGTGCCCTCTTCTGGCTTGTAGGCAGAACACTGTATATGTAATAAATAAATAAAATCTTAAAAAAAAAAAAGCACAAGAAGCAAAAGCAGGGACAAAAGGGGGCTGCTGTGCAGCCACATGGGATCCATGAGAGGATCGCTGTGCAGACACATGGGATCTGCTAAGGCGCGGGGGAAAGACAGAACGAAGCCAACGACGATCAGAAGCGGCTGAGGAAAGCAGGCAGCCTGTACCCTGCACGCCTCACTTCCATCTGTGATACGAAGAAAGCTGGCTGCTAGGCTGCGTGACAGGCCGGACGGAGTTCAAAGGCTCTGCCCGGTGTGAGGGTGGGCAGATAGGACCATAAGCCAGACCAAAGGCACATCAGGCACATCTGCATGCCTTGGTCTCTGCCCGCCTCCCCTGCCCACCCGCCCACCCATCAGGAAGTACAGGAGGAACTAACTGTCGGCCATCCAGGGCTCCACTTCTCCCCTGGGACAGGATCGGGCCGCCTGCACTTGCATCAATGCAGGGCCCCCAAAGGCTGGGGCAAGGGACTGATAAACGATTGAGAGACAGAGTTCATAGTCCAAGCCTGGAGGTGGGGGTCCCGGGCCAAGGAAGCAGAGGCACCCGGAATGATGAAGCCTGAAGACACTTCGGCATGCCTGACCCAGCCACTACCCAAGCCACAGTGACTTGTCTGGGGCAGTTTCCCCCACAAGGCCAACCAGACCAAGCTTGTAACTGCTCTGGGCTGGAGCCAGTTCCAATACAGAGCAGCAAAGAAGGGTCCCCGCCCAGGAAGCAGAAAGAGGGCCGCGCAGCTAATATCCACAAGTCTTTCAAGGCCCAGCCAGAGCGGAAGGGTTGATCCTCCCTGCTAGGCAGACTGAGGCGTGTGCATACCCAGGCCGTGCTCCCCCTCCTACATGGAAAAGGCAACAATGCAGGCAGATCGTGGCTTGAGGTTGTGTGCCTCCGATGGACGTTTCTGCCTGCTCACCGTCAGACCCTGGACAGTTGCCTCCACTTTTATCCAGAAAGGTCACAGTATTGATGTTTGTGCCTGGCCAGAGCACCGGGCACCAGCCCCTACAGCAGACAGAGATGATGGTCTAGCTGGCTCAGGAGAAACCCTTGGGCAGAATTCTTTGACTGTCCTGACCCAACCCTGCTGGACTCCAGGGGAGCAGCTAGCTTCCTGCCTGGAAGGAAGTACACCCACCTGGGAGACCATACCCAAGAGAATGCGATGTACTACGAGGGACATCTGCTCTGGGGTGGCATGAAGGCTGAGGGAGTGGACCTATATTTTATTTGTCAAGATGATAGACTTCATGTATGATAGGCAAATACTGTACCCCTCAGCCATGTCCCCAGCCTTGATTTTACTTGGCAGTTTGAGACAAGCGTCTCATCGAGTTGTCCAGTGAGGCCACAAACTCTGTGTAGCCTAGGCAGACCTTGAATTTGTATCTTCTTATCTTGGCCTTGCGATGACATTGTTTTGAGACCCAGGCATGGTGACACATGCCTGTAATCCTAGCAGCTGGGAGGCAGGAGGAATAGGAGTTCAAGGCCAGTGTTGAGTCCTAAGGCCGGCCTGAGCTGCAGACTGAGACAGTTTCAGCATGGGAAAGCCTGAGCAGGCACTCAGATTTTAACAGTTTACAGTTGGTATTCTAAAGCCTGTGTGTCCGATGCTCTGAGGGGGTGATGGGTCCCATCCTTCTTCCGGGAGGCTGGGAGAACCAGACCGCAAGGATCCCAGTGCAGAGCTCTGCAGCAGAGTACCTTCCAGGCAGAAAAAGCGCCATTGTCATGGATGGCCAGCGTTCCTCCCCACCCACATCCCGTTCGCTTTTGACATCCCGTTTGTTTTCCACCTATGGTGGCGAATGCAGTTAACCCACGGTAGCTGCGGTTGTGCTGTGTCTGCCGTCGGCCTGAACGCCATGTCTCTTTCAGCTGAAGATGATCCTCATAAAATGCTGTGACATCTCCAATGAAGTCCGGCCCATGGAGGTGGCAGAACCATGGGTGGATTGTTTACTGGAAGAATATTTTATGCAGGTAAGAGACACCAAGCCATCAAATTATGAGCACTCCTTCCAGCTCCCTGAGCAGGGGCTGCATTGAAAAGAGCAGACCAGGGGCTGGTTAAGAAACACTAGCTGGTCCTCCAGAGGTCCTGAGTTCAATTCCCAGTAACCACATGGTGGCTCACAACTGCCTGTATTGAGATCTGGTGCCCTCTTCTGGCCTGCAGGGATACATGCAGACAGAACACTGTATACATGATAAATAAATAAAAGAGAGAGAGAGAGAGAGACAGACAGACAGACAGACAGACAGACAGACAGACAGAGCAGACCAGAGAGGCTGACATATGCATCCCGCACCCCAGCAGCCTCCACAACACTGTCTGTGCAGACATACAGCAGAAACGACATAGGCTGTATTATAGATGTGAGACAGTGGCCACCGGGAAAAAAATTGTGACAAAACTGCCACCTATTGTCACTCCCAGAGCCACTTTTAGAAGCAGACTCAAGAAAAGTGGCCATGAGTCAAGAAGCGAGACCCGAGGGGAGGGATGGCCCTGAGGAGGGGCGAGGGCAAGCAACACGGTTCATGGGATAGCTACAGGGAGATACGGGCATAAAATAATGCAGACAAGCCGCTGTGGAGCTGAGCCCTGTAAACTGTCCTGCCGTGCCCTTGGGACTCCAGCCTGCTCACCTGGCCTTGGCTTGCATGTGTGTTCACTGCAGGCTCTCTGTGTCCTCACCATTGTACCGCCTTTGTGTGACCATGGGGATCACAGCTGGGCAGCACGCCCTGTTCTTCCCCTGAGAACAGGGCTGCTCTGTGTACCCGGGTCCATGGGCCTTTGTGCCTTTAAATGTCACTGTCACCATGCTCCCCGCAGAGTGACCGTGAGAAATCAGAAGGCCTTCCTGTGGCCCCGTTCATGGACAGAGACAAAGTGACCAAAGCCACGGCCCAAATTGGGTTCATCAAGTTTGTCCTGATCCCAATGTTTGAGACAGTGACCAAGGTGAGTGATCGTGTTTGGTGGTGCGGCGGCAGTAAACGCACGTGTGCACACGTGCATGCATGCACATTTCAGGGAGACGCATTTGGGTGTGCACGCGCACACACATGCACACACATGGACCCTCTGCAGCTTCCTCATCTGTTGTCATGGTGACGGTTGCCCGGCAGCCATTCCTTCTGCTGTGTCTTCAGAGAACTCCATGTGTGGCTGCCAGGCCCTCTGGCCCGCTTTGCCCCTGCCTAGCTCTGCCAGCCTTGAGACCCAGCCAGTTGTCCCAGTTGTTGGCTCTCCTGTCCTTCCAGGCCCCGCCTTAAAGAACATTCTGGAGTTGGTGCCCGCGGGCTGGCGAACCCTCACAACCAAGCTCTAGCCTCATCCTACCCCTGCACCTCCTCCTCCCAAGCCCCTGAGCAGCCTGCATGTCCTGCCTAAGGCCACCACTTCCAGCCCCCTGGATCCCAGCACACACTTATCTCTTGCCAGCCCATTTTCTCCACCCCACCTCCTGCCCATCATTCTCTGGGTGTCTCAGAGACACCCACATCCTCTTCATTCCTATGACCTCCAGCAGGAATTTTGTCAGATCTGTCCCTGCATGAGACCCTCTGAGGCCACACCCAGCCTCGTCTTACTGGACAGAGTGGGGACGGGAGAAGTTAGTAGGCTGTCGAGTCCTCTGAGAAATGACAGGGGTGGGAATCTGTGCCAGAGACAGAGATGGGGCATGGGCGGGGCTTTGCCAGGGTCTCCAGGACTTGGAACTGGCCAGGAGTTTCACACTCATCACCTTGGGTTTCTCTGAATGTCTTGATTTGAAATCACTGGCAAATGAAGCTCCTGGGGCTCACAGGTACCCCAAGAGCCTGACAACTCTCCTCCAGTGTTCACTGCAGCTTAAAAATTGTGGGCTGACCTTGGACCCTCTGCTCCCCAGCTCTTCCCCATTGTCGAGGAGACCATGCTACGGCCACTCTGGGAGTCTCGAGAGCACTATGAGGAGCTGAAGCAGCTGGATGATGCCATGAAGGAGGTAAAAGCAGTGCAGGGGACACAGGCAGGCGAGTCAGGGGCTTGCAGCCAGGCAGTACAAAGGGTGGGCACGAGAGCCAAGCTCAGTGAGACAAGGGGTCTAGAAGCTATGCTCTCTAACAACAGAGTCTCTTCCCCAGGGACTGTGGTGGGCTATGCTTTCCTTAGAGACTGCTGGCTGATGAGAGCTGGTACACAGCTGTGTCTGTCAGCCTGGAGACCCACCATGCATCACAGCCTCTGCAGTGTCTCTTAGCACCTCTCTGGGCCCTGTCCTCCAGGCCAGGGTGCCTGTTCGGTGAGGGCTGCATTGAAAAAGACATGAGAACAAAGCAAGTCTTGGCACAGATTCCCAGTTCAGCTTTATTGAAGCCCCTGTGTGGACATCTCTTCCTCCAGAAGCACTGATACTAGGGACTCAGTCCATATCTCCTGTCTGTTGTGGCTGCCAGATAGAGTCTTTCTCTACCCACAACACCTCCTGTTCCTACCAGGATGCCCATGTACCCAGAAGACTTTCCCCAGTCCCTGTGTACTTCAGATCTCTCAATGGCCACTGTGACCTCACCACCTGAGATGCCCCTCATTTCATGCTCAGTGTCCATGTGCCCAAGCTTCCCAGTAACAGAGGGCTCTACATTCACCTTTTCTGCCTTCTTTTTCAGGTGTGGCCTGGTATCGGTCACATCTCTCTCAGCCATATCGTCCTGAACACCCCCAGTATAAAATGCCAGGGATGTCACAGACATGGTAAAAGCATATAGGTTGACTGAAAGCACTGTCCAGAAAATCCTGGTGCCCCTGCCAGGAAGTCACAGAGGACAGCTCTGAAAATCTAAAAGGCAAAACTGTACAATACCAAAGGGCATTGCCAGCCCAGACTTCTCTGTCACCATGACCATCCCATTGGCCATTGCTCTGGGGGACCTGAGTCTGCGGTTCTACATTCCATTGCCCAATGGGAACACCAGGCTCTCCAGGATGCCATCCTGGCCCTAGAGAAGGAGGCATGAAAGGAAAAATAAGGGATAGCACTGAGCCTGAAACAGGAACTCAGCCCGCAGGCCTGGGGCTGTGGGCTGTGGCCAGCTTGATCCAGACATGGATGATCAGGATGACGTCATGGGTCATGAGCAGGTCGCAAGCACCCAGGCTATATCTGGAAAGTGTGGAAAGCCCACGTATGTGTGGGCAGCCATGTTTCACATCTGAGTGTCTTCAGGCAGCGGACACCTCCCGAGACAAGAGGCTGCTTGCTCTGGCCCGCTGCCTCTAGAGAACTTTGGCCTTTGTTCTCTCAGTTACAGAAGAAGACGGGTAGCTTGACACCTGGGGGCACTGAAAATGCCACGGAGAAGAACAGAGATGTGAAAGCCAGTGAAGGCCATTCTCCCCCAAACTGATGTCTCAGTGTGCACGGTGAGTGGGAGGGCCCTGGAGTGCCTTAAGCGGAGAGGGCAGAGTGTGTGTGTGCGTGTGCATGTGTGCGTGCGTGTGCATGTGTGCGTGCGTGTGCATGCGTGCGTGTGTGCATGCGTGCGTGCATGTGTGCATGCGTGCGTGCATGTGTGCATGTGTGCGTGCATGTGTGCATGCGTGCGTGCATGTGTGCATGCGTGCGTGCATGTGCGTGTGTGGGCGTGTGTGTATTCAATCCCCCACCCTCTTCTTACAAAGCACCAGGAACTCAGTCATGGGATGTCCACCCTGATGCCTTTGTTTACCCTGATTGCCTCCCGCAGCCTCCCCGCAAACTCCACAGCTAGGGGCTTTCACCTTTACCTTACATCAGCCCCCCCACCCTCAACACTCCCATTTACAAACTATCCTTTGCCTGCTATACTGACAGGATGAGAGCAGCGTCAAACACAGCGTGCAGCCTGCTTCCAATCCGAGCGACTTTAATCCTGCGTATCCTAATTAGAATCTGGGCTCTGATTTGGAAGGGTTCACACTTGAGTTACGGAAAGGATTAATTATCAGAATGCGCACCACCCATGAGATGAAAAACTATGAAGAGCATCTGGAGTGCAGAAGCTTTTAAAAAGCACTTGTTCCCCGTCACCACAAGCATGTCCCTTGACTCCTGCTCACACAGCCCCTCACTCAGCACAGCCCCTCAGCCAGCACACGCTACAGTGCATGCTGTGGTGTGTGCTAACCTCTAACTAAGCACATGGCTATGGAGTGTCTGTCATGTGAGCCCAGGGTTTATGCGTGGAGAGGGAGAAGCTGAGTTTGAAGGGGAAACAGATAAGACATCAGCCCGAGGCATGCCTTTAGTATAAACCTTTTCAAGTGACAGCCATGTGTCCCCACCACTGTGGACCCCCAGGCCTCTCATCTGTAAGCCCAAGGTTGCAATGTCATTATTGGGACTTGAACAGGTGTGTGAACTACTGTTCCATATTGAGGCATCCAGTGAACCTTGAAGCCAGGTCCTGTTCTTGAGAAGAAAGTGGCACTGATACTGTCTAATTTGGGCTACATGTGTTGTATGGCTGACAACCTCATTCTTCATTTGTTTGTTTCTTTTTCTTTGTGTGTGTGTGTGTGTGTCTGCATGAGTATGTGTACCACATGTGTGCTGGAGTCCACAGAGGCCAGAAGAGGACATCAGATCCTCTGGAACTGGAGTTATAGATGGCTGCGAGCCTCCATGTGGGTTCTGGGAACTGAACTCATGTCCTCTGCAAGAGCAGCCAGTGCTCTTAACTACTGAGCCATCTCTACAGCCCCAACCTCATTCTATTGTATTTTATCAGATTTTTAAATTAGTGTACAAAGTAATGGTTTTCACCCTGGTGTCTTCAGACACGTGTGTCATTGTCCCTTCTCATCCATTCCTGCCCTTTTCCACATCCACTCGTCGTGTCAGGCTTGGTCCCCCCATTCCCATTTAGTACCCCTTGTGTGAGTGTGTATGTGTGTGTGAGTGTGTGTGTGTGAGTGTGTATGTGTCTATGTCTGTGTGTGTCTCTGTGTGTGTGTCTGTGTGTCTATGTCTGTGTGTGTGTGTCTGTGTGTGTGTCTCTGTGTGTGTGTGTCTGTGTATGTGTGTCTCTGTGAGTGTGTGTGTCTATGTCTGTGTGTGTGTGTGTGTTTGCCTGCTTGTGTGTCTATACACCACTTGCATGTCTGATGCCTATGGAGACCAGAAGAAGGCAGCTGATCACTTGGAACTAGAGTTACAGACAGTTGTGAACCACTGCATGGATACTGGAAATTGAACCTGGGTCCTCTGGAAGAGCAGCCAGTGCTGTTAACCACCAAATCACCTCTCTAGCCCTGCTTCTGCTTCAAAAAATATATATTTTATTTATTTTTAATTTTGTATATGTATGTGTATATACACACGCGCACACGCGCACACGCGGGCGCACACACACATATATATACATGGGAGTATGTGCACAGCAGTGCAGGTGCTATAGAGAACAGAAGAGGGCGCTGGACATGCTGGAGCTGGAGTTGCAGGTGGTTGTGAATCCTGGGATTCAAACTTGGGTCCTCTGCAAGAACATTGCTGGCTCCACCACTCCCCAGCCCAGGTCTCTCCATTTTCTTGTCACATGCATTCTGTCACCACCTCAGCTTCCCACTTGGCCCTGTGTCTGTGCCATCTCCAGTCCCCACAGAGACAATACACCTTGTTTCTCTTTTTCCAGCAGACTGTACTAGTTAAAGCAGCTGAGCTGTGGCCTCTGAGCGGACAGGGCTGGGAACCTCCCAGGATTCTCCACACAAGGACGGTCACGCCCAGATGACCCCGGATGACCTGCCACAGACTATGTTTTCTAAGAACTGTTTTGTTCACTGATACAAAAACAGGAACTCATGATGCTGTACAGAATTTTTATTTTTAAACTATCTTTTAAATAATATATTCTTATACAGAAATGGGTCTGTACTTTTTCTTTGGGCTTTGCACTCGGATTTCCAAGGACTCTGACTTTCCCTGGGATGTGTCTTCAAATGGTTGAACAGTAATGTGACCTGAGGGTCCATGTACATTCCACATTAAACATCAGAATGGTGCCCGAGTTCAGGGGCGTGCACGTGTCCTGTGTCTATGAGCAAGGGGGGAGGCACTTGGGGACATGCGCATTGCTGTGTTTATGAACAGAGGGAGGGCACCAGTGATGTCTGCAGGGGCTGCGGAATGAGGCATGCTGGGAGACTGCATGAGAGGTGATGAGGGAGGCAGATGCCCTCCTGACCACTGGGACCATGGATGCTTCAGGGCTGATTTTGATGGGTAAGTCTTCCTAGGCACTCTAGAATCATCCACTGAAGGAATGAATACATCTGAGATTCCTCGCCCACACAATCGCATAAGAGGCAAAAACCACAGACTGTTCCCACGATTATGTATGGAACATGGGAAAAGCCATACATGGGTGCACATGTGTGGACGGGTCATGTGTCTCTGGTCTTGCTCCCAGCTGACAGCAAGGAAGCTAAGAGAGGAAAGATGTCCAGCATTCAGCTGTTTTATAGACCTGGCAGCTTCCTTCAGGAACAGGGGGGATGAGTTCTGAGGAGGGCAGCAGAGGCAAACATGGAGGCTGAACACAAGGCCTCAGGCAATAACTGATGAGGATTTGTGGTGTTAAGAACTCAAGGCTTCCTGTTTGGGTTTTTTTTCTTCTTCTTCTTTAAATTGGCTTAACAACAAAAACCCAAAATGCACCAGATGTGCCAGCGAGAAAGCAGAAAGGGGACAGATGTGTTAGGCAGCAGATGATGGCTGACTTAGCCTATGGTGCTTCTGAGCCACAGGTGGCAACGCCCTCCTGCATTATTGGAGGTGTGGCCTTGTTGGAGGGGTGTGGCCCTGTTGGAGGAGGTGTGGCCTTGTTGGAGGGGTGTGGCCCTGTTGGAGGAAAAGTGGCCTTGTTAGAGGAAGTGCGTCACCGCAGGGGTGGGCTTTAAAGTTTCAGAAGCTCAAGTCAGACCTAAGGGCTACACTCTCTCTTCCTGCTACCTGCGAATCCAGATTTCCTCTGCCCAAAGCCTGGTCAACAGGGAATCACAGAAGGCTGAGATGGCCTCCTTGCATCCATGGTAATGCTCCAAGGCCAACTGGCATTAACACTTTAGGGAGGGGGAAGAGTCATGACTTCCAGACCAGTGCAACTCTACACGCCTCCCCATTGTCTCTTGGGAATCCTTGGGGCGCGCCAGACTACTAGGGTTACTAATGGGTTACTAGTAAACGGGCACCTGGACTGCTCCCTGGTTTGGGTAATAGTGAGTAATCAAAGCGTCAGGTGTTTGTATGGCTGTGCGTTGACTTCTTCGGGAGGAAAGCTGGGGAAAGTGTGAGCCTTCTGTTAGGTTGATGTTGTTATTCTTGTGGGTGGGGACGGACGGGGGGTATGCCCATGTCTATGTCCACCTTGGTGCTTTGAATGAGGACCCCCACAGATTCATCTAGTTGAATACTTAGTGAAATAGTCTGAAACTAATAAAGGTGAGTGGATCTTGTTGGAGGTGTGTCATTGGGGTTGGGCTTTGGGGTTTCAAAAGAACCCTATGCCATCCCCAGTTAGCTCTCTCTGCCCTGTGGATGAAGATATACTCAGCTACTGCCCCAGAGCCATGCCTGCCTGCATGTAACCATGATTCCTCCCCACCGTGATAGCTGTGGACTCTAACTCTCCGAAACTATGACCACAAGCAAATGCTTTCTTTCGTAAGTTGTCTTGTTCATGGTGTTGTATCACAGCAATAGAATCGTGCGTAAGACGTACACCAATCTTGGGAGTCATTTCAAAGGCACTTGTCCACCTTGTTTTTTGAAACAGTGTCTTTCGTCACCGGAGAACTTTCCAAGTAGGCTAGCCAGCAGCTCAGAGACAGAGCCCCAGGCATCTGCCTGTCTCTACCTCATCGGTGCTGGGATTGTAAGTACAAGACTCCACACCCAGCTTTTTTGTGTGTTCTAGGGATCGACTCAAGTCTTTGTGCTTACGGGGCAAGCACTTTACCCTGAGCCAGCTCCTCTACCTTTCTTGTCACCGCCAGTGGGTGGCGCTGCCTTGCAACCTCAAAATAAAAATGAGGGAGTGTGTGGCCCTGGGGATTGCGCTAACTAGTTTTTTGTTGATTTGATACAATCTAGGATCATTTGGGAAGGATCCTCAACTGAGGAAAAAAACCGTGCCTTGTTAGATTGGCCTGTAGGCAAGTCTGTAGGGCATTTTCTTGATTGATGGCTGATGTGGGAGGGCCCAGCTCACTGGGCCTGGGTAATACTCGGAAGCAGGCTGAGCAAGCACAGGGAAAGGCCAGAGAGCAGCACCCCTCCATGGCTTCTCCTTCATCTCCGGCCTCCAGGTTCCTGCCTTGAGTCCCTGTCCTGCCCTCCCTCCATGGTGGAGTGTTACTTGGATGTGTGAGCCTACTAAACCCTTTCCTGCCCAAGTTGCTTTTGTCGCAGGATTTATCACAGCAGTAGGAAGCTGACTAGGACAGGGATGGAACCCAGGGCATCACATATGCTCCTGGGCAACGCCCAGTCTTCCTGTGTAGTGTCCACAGCCCTTTTTTGATCTTCTAAGCAGTATTTAAAAAGCAAATATTTGTGTTTTTGACGAATTTTTTTCAGGTTTTTTTTTCTCCAAGCTTACTTTCTTTGTCAAGCCTACACATTCTCTGCCTCTCCCTCAATGCTGAGAATTTCTTCTGTCTTTTCCCTAAGAGTTTCATGGGCTTAGATTTTATTCTATGGTTCTTTAGAGTCAGCTTGTGCATAGATATCGAGGTCCAGCTTGTGTCTGATGCTGGTCGATTAGGCATCTTTGAAAAGGTATCTTTCAGCCTGAAAGACACGCCTTTAATCCCAGAAGAGTCGAGAGAGAGAGAGAGAGAGAGAGAGAGAGAGAGAGAGAGAGAGAGAGAGAGAGAGAGAGAGAGAGAGAGAGAGAGGAGAGAGAGGAGAGAGAGAGAGAGAGAGAGAGAGAGAGAGAGAGAGAGGAGAGAGAGAGAGAGAGGAGAGAGAGAGAGAGAGAGAGAGAGGAGAGAGAGAGAGAGAGGAGAGAGAGAGAGAGAGAGAGAGAGGAGAGAGAGAGAGAGAGAGAGAGAGAGAGAGAGAGAGAGAGAGAGAGAGAGAGAGAGAGAGAGAGAGAGAGAGAGAGAGAGAGAGTTAGTTCTAGGACAGCCAGGGGTACAGAGAAGCCCTGTCTGGGGGTGAGGTGAGGGGAAGAAAAGACAAGCTCTTCCTCCAGGAATTGCCTTTATGCCCTTCTCAGAAGGTAGTGGAAGATGACGTGGTGTCTGTTTCTGGATTTTTTTTTTTTTGGCTCTATTTGGTTGATCTGTCTACCTTTCTACCAGTATCACACAGCTTTAATTATAGCAATACAATAGCTCTTGAAATTAGGTAGCATAATCAGGCAGTGGTGGCGAACGCCTTTAATTCCAACACTCGGGAGGCAGAGACAGGCTGATCTCTGTGAGTTCCAGGACAGTCAGAGCTACACAGAGAAACCCTGTCTTGAAAAACAAAAAGAAAAGGTAGCCTAATTCCTCCATTTTACCCTCTTTTTTAAAAGATGTTTTTATTTTTTATGGGTGTATCCTGGCTAGTTTTATGACGAGCTTCATCAGAGGGGAGGGAGCCTCAATTGGGAAACCGCCTCCATAAGATCAGGCTGTAGGCAGGCCTGTAAAGCATCTTCTTAATTAGTGCTTGATAGGGGAGGGCTCAGCTCACTGTGGGTGGGGCCATCTCTGGACAGGTGATTCTGGTTCCTATAAAAAAGCAAGCTGAGGGCTGGAGAGATGGCTCAGAGGTTAAGAGCACTGACTGCTCTTCCAGAGGACCTGAGTTCAATTCCCAGCAACCACATGGTGGTTCACAACCATCTGTAATGAGATCTGGTGCCCTCTTCTGATGTGTACATGGAGGCAGGGTGTTGTATTCGTAATAAATAAATAAATTTCTAAAAAAAAAAAACAAGTTGAGCCAAGCCATGTAGAACACGCCAGTGAGCAGTCCCTCCATGACCCCTGCATCAGCTCCTGCCTCCAGGTTCCTGCCCAGATTGAAGTCGGTCCTGACTTCCTTCAGTGACATAGTGACATGAAAGTGTAAACCAAATAAACCCTTTCCTCCCCAAGTTGCTTTTGGTCATGGTGTTTCATAACAGGGATAGTAACCCTAAGACGGGGTGTTTTGCCTGCATGTGTATCTGTGTACCACATGAGTGCAGTGACGGAGAAAGCCAGAAGAGGGTGCTAGATCTTGTAGAACTGGAGTTGCCAGTTCTAGACTGTTGTGAGCCATCAGGTGAGTGCTGGGAATCAAACCCAGGTGCTACGGAATTGCTGCCAGTGCTGTTAACCTCCAAGCCATCTCTCCGGTCCCTATTCTAGCTTCTTTACTGTTGTCTCTGTGATAAAATGTTTTAACAAAAGCAGCTTTAGGTTTTATACTACTACATGGTGAGTTTTATAGTGACACAGCAAGTAGATGAAGGCAAGGGAAAGAGAGGCAGCTGGTCATACTGCAGATGCAGTCGGAGAACAGAGGGTGATGGATGCTATGTTCAGCTCACCCTCCTATTCATTCAGTCCAGGCCCCCAGCTCAGGGAACAGTGCCACCCACTTGTAGGGTAGCACTTCCCATCTCAGTGACTATAGTCAATATAACTCCTCCTAGGCAAGCCTGGAAGTTTGATGTGTGATGCTAGGCCCTATCAAGGTAACAGCATGTTCCTAGATTTCAGAATTATCTTACCCTATTTACAAACTTTTGTTGTATGCATTCATAGAAATTGAATTAAATGTATATTTCAATGTAGAGTGATTTGACAACTTTGCAATACTGGATCTCCCAAGCTGTGAACAAGATATGTCTCTGCATTTGTTTGGATGTTTCTTATGTTGATATTTCTAGCCTCCAGTATTTGAGGCTTGCTTTGTGGTTTGCACTTAGATATGTTTCCTGAGTAATTAGATATGTCATTATACCTTCAAGGCAATTGTCTGCATGCTCATTGCTAGGAAGATAATTGATATGTGTGCATTTATCTG